ATTTTATTTTTATTAAATTAAATTCTATTATTTTCTTTTACATTGTAAAAACATTTTCCAAATTAATACTAACCTTCAAATTATTTTCTAAACAAATTACTTAGACTTAGATTTTATTTTCTTCTTAAATTCAATTGGCTTAGATTTTAGGTCTTGTTAAAAATTAATTAACTTCTTTTATAATTAAAATTAATTGGTTCAATTAGGTTAATCTCTATACCTTTTCATCAAAAATCCTAAGAAACAAACTTATTTTTGCTTCTTCATCTTTACATTTTTGTATTATTATTATAATTCATATTCAATGGTTTGTAATAGTAATTAGGGATTTATTGTTTTCCTCCCCCTATTTCATAAACTTGTACTCCCCATTCCCAAGGCATTGTAATAGTGTAGGACATTTAAATTCTGCAATTTACCACTTTCCTTATTATTGCTAGTAATTAGGGTTTGCATGACAAGACTTAAAATCAAACCTAGCAAAACCCTAATTCAAGATAAAATACATGAAAACAAAACACTTTACGCACATGCACCTCTAGGGTAACTCACACTTGTTGACTCAGATTAAAAATAGTCATGTCCCTCGAACGTGAGATGTTTTAGCAAAAAACCCTCGATTAAAAGATCATAGTCCCTCGATGATCCTTCAATGTTGCCTTCGGAAAATAATCTTAGTCCATTACAACCATTGCTAAAACATCTTACAAGTTTCCTTCTATGACTGTACAATGACCCACGCTCGTCCCTCACATCCAAAGATAATGGCTCTCTACCAACTCATGGTAGACAAGCACTACCTAAAGGAGGAGAAAAGAACAAAGACTTTTTTAGTAGGTAGATTGCTCGTAATTTCTTGCTCACAAACAAAACCATTTCCACACTTCACACTTTTAAAACATTTGTCAAAACAAACATTTTGTATACATTCTCAACGATACGAGAATCATTACAAAATTGCCTTACATTGGCATTCTCAAACATCTTTCCAAACATTCCTTTTCGACAAATATTTTCAAAACCAACATTTTATATACATTCTCAACGATACGGGAATCATTGCAAAATTTTCCAAACTTAGGCGTTTTCAAAATATTTTCAAACTTACACAAACACAAAGCATTTTAAAGTGATCAAGTGATTAAGAACCCGTAGATAACTACAGATGAAATGGGTGCTAACACATTCCCTTTTCATAACCTACCCCCCGAACTCAAGAAAATTATCAAAAGGAATTTCCTGTTCTTTTCGCCCTTTCCTTTATTGGATAAAAGAAAAGTCAGTGGTGACTCTTGCTATCCGCAACATTTGCGATAAAACGCAAAACACAAAGTCAGTTCTCCCACCGTATAATAATCTTGAACCATAAAAACCTTATATGATCAACTTTACCACAGAAGGAACAACATCAGTAAAAGAACATGCCTTGAGTAGATATGAAGTTAGGTATAATGTTGAGACATTTTGAATGACATCACTGACTCTGCCAACCTTTTGTAGAAACCCAAGGTTTATCACTAAAGATTCTCCTTGCTTGATAGAGCCTTGATAACCAAACTCTAATCCTTATATGTTTTCAATCAACTTCCCATCTTGAAGAAACTCATCAACACATATGAATCATTTGTCCAACATCCTCACAGACTTGATTATGATTTCAAATATGGAGGTCAATAAAGTCACCTCATCATACAGGTTAAAGATAGTAGACAACATTTTTTTCTTATCAGCGTGTAGTTGAGAAATAGTTACCTTTTGTTTTTCTCCCTGTTAAAATACTTCTTCGCCTTTGATTCTCAATCCATGTAAGAAGAAGCCATATTATCATAAGATATTCTTTTAATGCAAGAATCTACATTAATAATCCACCTTCCAGATAAGTCAGTAACACCCGTTGCAGATTCAACAACAGGATCTCATCAGACCAAGAAATAAAAATCCCCTTTAAAAGATTCTTGATATAGGTAAGGCATTCTGCTCTAACAAATCCAAAGCCTTCACATTCATTTTACTGAATTCTTGAGATTGATTGGCTTTTTCTTCTGATCCAGCTTTTCTTTGATCACATAGATCAAGTTGAAGTCAGGACTAATATTCTTGACATTTGGATTTGACCTTCTATCCACACTCCTCAGAACCTTGTTGAATTGGCTTCCAAGAACATACCAACATTAGATAACCCTTCATCAGATTCTAGGGAACAAAGCTCCCCTTTATCAACAGAGTTGGAGACAAAAGTTATGCTTTTGTTCTTCTATTCAGATCTATCATTTTAGTCAATTCAAAACTTTTGAGAGACCCAAAAAAATTGTTGTTCATATCTTGAGCTTCTTCAATGGCTGATACTTTATTGTCAAATCTCTTAGGTAGAGACTTGAGTATCTTCTTCCTGACTAGCCTTTCTCCTGAAATTCTTTGATGTGCCTTCATGAGTAGTCTTGAGAAATTTCCAACCATCTTTGACCATAACACAAGTGTTTATCATATTAAAGATGGCAATCAACACTTCCATAGACAAATCCTCTTATGGCCTCAAAGGGCATTCCCTTCTTTTATCCTTAACCACGGGATTCACCAATCCTGACAAAATTCCAAGAACTATTGTCCATTTGACATAAAGAGTGCTATCATTCTATCCTTCCAAAAGACAAGTAGTACCAGAAAATTTTTCCCTGAAGCTCACACAATAGACAGACCATGGTGTCAACTCTGATGCCAATTGAAATTCTGGCACTTGCAACATTTGTTAATACTGATGTCCCAACATCAGAACACAATATCAAGACAGATGATACGACATCTTCTGATAGACAAAATAGATATATCAAAACTGAAACTTATGTAGAAATAAATTACATAATGATAGATAACACCGATGATTGTTAACCCAGTTCGGTGCAACGTCACCTATCCTGGGGGCTACCAAGCGAGAAAGGAAATTCACCATGATAGTATTAGTTCAAATCCTAAACAATTCCAGTTTACAACTTCTTGTCTAATCACTACCTTGTGCAATTTCTACCTAGAAACCTTTTAGATAATGAGATCACCCTCTCACTTTCTACCAATCACCTCAGTGATAAACTACAATCACAAACCAGTGACTAGAATCAAAGTCCAGAAGATTACACTTTAAATACAAAACTCGACTCTTTGCTTAAAAGCTCATGAGTGAGAGAAATATAGTCTTGCTTAAAAGCTTCAACCAAGAACAATAACTTGATAAACAATCAAGTAACAATCAATCTACCTCACTGTATCAAAGATACATGGGTGAATTACAAAAACACAAGAGACTCTCAAAACCTAAGACTTAAGACTTCCCCTAATTTTACAATTGTGAAAAGTTAAATTATACTAGGTCTAGGTTTCTCTTTAAATACTCCTCAGTAGTTTATGGGCTTCGAAATCTTCATCCAAATATTTCTTGATCCACAAGTTGAGTGTTGCACCAATTATGCAGAAAAATCTCCTTAAATCTTGGAACAAAACATCAAGTTTTCTAAATTGTCTCAACATCCAATTTTAGAAACTTATGTACATCTGGAGATTAGATCACTTGTTCCAAATTAAATCTTCTTGACCTACGCAAATCATTGAGATATATCCAAAAGAAGTATCACAAAATCAAATCAAATCTGTCAAGATTTAAAACAACTTGTACTGATGTTCTGGTACAACATGTTACATCATTTGTCAGAACATTTGTCTTCAATGTAAACTTACACCATGTTGTATCAGTTTGATCAAGATGTTATGACATCTTGCTCAACATTAGATAAGAATCTTGTTTTAACAAAATTACTACTAAAACCATTGATCTAACATTATTTATAAAAAAGAATTGACTTTTTAAATTTATTGAATAATTAACATATTTGATCTATTATATAATTCAAATACATTATTTATTTATTTAATAAATCTGAAAAATAAATTTTTTTCTTACAAGAGAGTAAGTCTTTATAAGTAAACTTATAGACTGTCCAACAAGAAAAACTCCATCAATTATGGTACTGGTAAATGATAGAGTTAGCCTTATCAACTGAGCAAGAGTTTCTATTTATTTTACACCTTCATGAGGTTAGGATGCTAATTTGAAAATCCTAACAAACTTAGAGAAAACTAAGAATTAAGAAGATAAACTAAGGAAATAAATTGTTTTCATTCATTTGATAACTTTGTCATCTCTCAATGAGTACATATATAGTAGTAGTGGATTGTAACTAAAGGCCCAATAACTAATTAAAGTCCACCTCAACAATATTTTAAGGTCCTAAGAACATTCTAAAAAGAATTACAAATTAAATAACAATAATATAAATTCTACTTCTAATTAATCATAATTCTTACTCTATCATTGTCGTCGGGTTCACTTGAACCTTGTCCTCAAGGTTCTATAAGTAGTATAATAATAGAGTCAATGTCGATATTTCCTCCCAAAAAACATTACAATACCAAGCTATCAACCATTCAATCTCATGATAAATAGCATACTCAATATGTGTGTTCTGAACATCATGTTCATCAAATAGTTTGAAAGTTGTTCTGAACAATAGTAAACCCATTAAAACAAGGAGATCAAAAGTCCATTGTTGAAATTTGTTTAAGAGAAGTGCTTCAACAAGTTTAAAAAGTCGAGTTTTTGAACCTTCTTCAATGCAATATGCAAAATTCTCTTGATACACCCAAAATGCAGTAAGTGCCACAGTATACTCCACATCTGAACTCATTAATATTTTTTTCCAACATCTGACAATAAACTTTGTTTGCTTTTTGAGGAAGAAATAATGAGATTTGAATATCCCAATTATCAACTTCACTCTTAAACTATGATATCTCATCATTGAAAGAAACCACGCCACACATTATAACTTCCATGTGAGCATTATCATTTGGTTCCTTACAAGATTTAATCAGCACCCCTGCAACGAATGGGACAAAACCTCTAACAAACAAGTAATCATGCTTCCATAGTGACTTACTCATCCACAGAAGCTTCAACATGGGTCAAAACTTTCAATACCATAAGGCGCAACAGCTTCAGTAAGCGCGACAAGAGACAATGCAGTGATCATTCGTACCTTCTGATTCTCATCACTTATACCATGCTCTATAATTTCAACAAGAGACCTCAGATGGGGCAACCCAACGCATCCAATTAAAATGGCAATCTGCTGCACAATCTTAATCAGCTCAGCCACATCTTTAACTTTATCTCGTAACGCATTTGGCATATTTTTCTGTTCTGCCATTTGAAGTAAGAAGGCAAAATACCATTTTTAGTCCTTTAAGTTTACCCCAAGGTCCATTTTGGTCCTTTATCTAAAAAAAGTGTCAAACTGGTCCTATAATTCTTTCAAAAGGACCATAGGAGTCCTTTCCGTCCATTTTGGTCCATTTTGGTTCATTGGAGAAGCTGCAAAATGAGCTTGATGGAGCAAAGATGGAGATACATCATCTAAAGGAAAGGAAGGATGGGCTGAAACATAAAATAATGGAGTTACAAATTGAAATGAAGAAGGATGGGCTGAAACATAAATGACCAAAATGGACGGAAAGGACTCCTATGGTCCTTTTGAAAGAATTATAGGACCAGTTTGACACTTTTTTTAGATAAAGGACCAAAATGGACCTTGGGGTAAACTTAAAGGACCAAAAAGAGTATTTTGCCAAGTAAGAATTTCAAAATTGGTAGAAATATCTCTGGGAATGAACTCAAGTCTTTCTACACATTGATATATCCTTGTAGAGTTTCAACAACAGTAACTAATACACTAGCCCTGAAAGCATCTGTAGTGAATAAAGGAGAGTCTTCTGGCATGTCTATTAGCTTAAAGAAATTCAGAGCATTAATCTTGTCTACTGACTCATTTATGCATAAATTAATCTGCTCTACATAGTTCTGTGGAAGGACTTCTAAGATCCTATGACTTAGCTCCAACGCAAAATCATGGCAGCACAAATTGTTATTGATCATAGCACATAAAGGTTTCACACCAATTTCAGAAGCAGGTCATTTACGTCTCTTCTTTTCGGCTACTTGAAAACCAATCATCACCTCAATACTAGCTAAGGAAATTCTGTAAAACATAACATCAGCACTATAATCTCGAACAATTTGAATTTGGTCTTCAATTATCCTGAATAGATCAATAGCAGCTGGGGTATATAGCTTCCCGTCATTAGTTTCCTTTGGGAGATGTGTTTTATCTGCCTCCAAAATATTCAAGTACTATTTCCTTTGGGAGCTGTGTTTAATATTTCAATATTTAACAAGGCATTTTTCCTGTAGCTCAGCAATCTTAGCATCTGAATAAACCTCTCTCAGTGTAAAGATTTACCATTAGTTGGAGCACAATATATCTTGGAGGAAAGTAGGGGGCTAATACATAGTCAAAAAAAAATCTTTGAGCTCCTCTACAATCGCTCGAGCTTCCTCTAAAGCTGCCTTCAGGTCCTCATTTGAAAAAGTAGTTAAGAGGTCACTAAGATCCATTAGAGGGGATGGAATATCACTAGTGGCAGTATCTTTACTAGCAGTTGTTGAACCTGTTCTTCCAAACCCAACACTCCATGTTGGACCACCCGAAGCTACAACAGAATCTCGAGCAGAAGCAGCAATAATATCTGCACAAGAAACTATTCCAGGACAAGCAGTCTCAATTATGTTTTAATGTTGTCAATCACATCAAAACCTCTCAGTGAATTCACATTTGCGCCCGCCGACTTCTCTCCAGTGAAGCTCGAAGTGTCATCCAATAGGACTGATGCATCATCATTCGAAACCCTTAAAAATTCAATCAAATTCCCGTTACCATTCCCAAAATCTGTAAACTAATTAGCAACATTTTGACCAGCAAACCCTAACTCATTCATCTCACTAGCATAATCACCTCGAGAAACCCCATTCGACGCGGTAAAACCTGAAAATGAAGACCAATGATCAGGCACAACCGAAATAGAATCACGATCTTGATGAACCACTCTAATGGTGTTTTGGTCCCGTTCTAGCATTTCATCAAACATATGGTGAGTTGGTTAAAGTGGCAGCAGCGATACTGGTACCGTAGTTGAATCAGGTGGCTCTGGTAGCGGAGACGGATGTTGTTGAATTGATTGTACAAGGAGAAACCCATTGTTTAAAAATTCCATACGCTCAGCAACGATATTACAACTAAGATATAAAAATGAGTCTTCAGTGTCAAACAAAGATTCTATTATTGAGTATCGTTTCGTTGTCTCTTCTGAAATAGGTTTCCTAAGAACATGACTCTTGAATGTATCCATCGGACTAATGAAATGATGAATAGGATGAATATCAGGTGGAAGTGGTGTATATCCATAATTAAAATGTAAATATGGGGTTGTAACATGTGGATTTGTGGAATAAGATGAGAAAATTTTCCATGAAAAAGATAAAAATGAGGAAGTGATTGAAGATATAAAAGAGAAATTTGTAGGATAGGCAGGAGGAATACTCCATGGATGATATGCAGATATATGATAAGGATAATTCATAGGAGGATTTGAGTACACCAATGTTAAGATGTTAATTTGGAAACCCTAACAAACTTAGAGAAAACTAAGAATTAAGAAGATAAACTAAAGAAATAAAACTTTTTGATTCATTTAATAACTTTGCCATCTTTCAAAGAGTACATATATGTTAGATATTTAGGGTGTGATAATCTTGGATAACTTCGAAGAATCGTGTTCGTACACTTTTCGAACAAAGTATTTCGACCCTATTCTTGCCTGGGTTCACGAAATCTTTGTGGGGATAATTCTCGAAGAAATTTTATTTCCGACAAAAGAAAACGAATTGTAATTATAGAGAGAAGGATGCGTTTTTTCCTGTGTGCGAGACCGAGGCCGAACGTCTCCTTATATAGGAGAACAGTAATTGAAAACGAAGAGACATATTTGTTCGAAACGAATATGTCAGTTGGGAAACAGTTATGTCCGTTGGGTCCAGCAATTCCTTTGCCTTTTCCTTTGACCATATTAACCAAGGGTCCAGCAATTCCTTTGCCTTTTCCTTTGTCATCTTCCTGCGCTCTTAGAGATTCTTCTATGCGCAAATGACTTCCAAGTTGGATCAAAGACAGTTCGTCTTTTCCATGTTTCAGATTGTGTTTGAAATCCTTCCACGAAGGAGGCAATTTGTCTATGATGCTTGAGACAGATATTGTTTCATCCATATTCAATCCATGTTGTGTGAATTGTCCAAGGATTCGGAGGAGTTCATTGAATTGTTCCATGACAGACCTCGATTCAACCATTTTGTAATTGTTAAAATCGGTTACCAGAAACTTTTTACTGGATGAGTCCTCTGCCATGTACTTGGATTCGAGTTGATCCCACAATTCTTTTGCAGATTCCACGTTTTAGTAAATATCAAATAAGGGATCAGACATACCGTTAAGAATGTGCCCTCTGCATATGTAGTCGTCGTTCTCCCACTTTGATCTGCGTCTTATATCTTCGACTGATTCATCCTCACGAGGTTCTGGAATCGGTGTAGACAGGACGTGTACCACTTTCAACGTTGTCAACATGAAGTGCATCTTCTTCTGCCAACGCCTGAAATCTTGTCCTTGAAACTTGTCCAATTTTCCGAAGTTTGTTGTCATCTCCTTGATGGTGCTTCCTCCAGCCATGATTATCAGAAAGCTACTTTGTTCGTTTGTGAGATATTTAGGGTGTGATAATCCTGGATAACTTCGAAGAATCGTGTTCGTACACTTTCCGAACAAAGTATTTCGACCCTATTTTTGCCTGGGTTCACGAAATCTTTGTGGGGATAATTCTCGAAGAAATTCTGTTTCCGACAAAAGAAAACGAATTGTAATTATAGAGAGAAGGATGCGTTTTTTTCCTGTGTGCGAGACCGAGGCCGAACGACTCCTTATATAGGAGAACAGTAATTGAAAACGAAGAGACATATTTGTTCGAAACGAATATGTCAGTTGGGAAACAGTTATGTCCGTTGGGGAAAGGATTCAAAAATTTTGCACGGGGCGCTGCCCCGCACCCCGCCAGGGGCTTCGCCCCTTGGAACCCCGTTTCAATTATTCGTATTCAATTATGCATTGGCTCGACGAGCGTGCACTCCGCACTTCCCTAACTCGTCTCCGAACTTAACGCATAATTGCATCGGCCTTTAGAAATCACATTACTACTAAAATACATTGGTAATACAAAATCGCCAACAATATATAGTAGTAGTAGATAGTAACTAAAGACTCAATAATTAATTAAAGTTCACCTCAATAATATTTTAAGGTTTTAAGAACATTCTAAAAAAACATTGCAAATTAAATAACAATAATATAAATTTTACTTTAGGAATATGCTTTTTTGTTGTCATTATATCTTCTGATACTTAAACTTTTAAATTGTTTCATTTCCTAAACACTTCTAAATTGTTTATCCAAATATTACTTCTTTAAATAATTTCATCGAAAAACTTCTCTAAACAAAGTGTTTGCCAAATACAGATGTTTTAGGCATTAACCTTGGATAGACATAAATGTAGTCAACTTTCTTTTTTATAAAATGTATTCGACCTTTGTCCTGTTTATTCATATCTCTTTGTATTATGTATCTTAGTAGTATTGGTTTGTTTAAATTTTCTAGTTGCCAATAAATTATTATTCTCAACAGAACTTTTAACTTAATTGGATTATTAGCTTGTAGATATTGTAAAGATAGAACAAACAATTAAACAACTTATACAATGTAAGCTTTGAGTATTGGTTTTTGATGTAGCCGAAACCATTTCGTGGAAACCAGACCACAGGTGGCCGCAAGTGAGTCGATTGGTCGCATTTGATATCAATTCTCCCCAATATCAAGGATCGTGCAAACGCAATAACAAAGACTCCGCTATTTAAAATCTTAGCTGCAAAAAGTCACTATCTCAGTTGCTACTAACACATGATTTGAAATAAAGCTCTGCAGCACCTTGAGGCCACACAATACAATGCTGATACTAACAACCATAAGATGACACAAGGAACTACTCAACACAATGACAAACTAAGAAAGATTTAAGAACTTCAAAATTTCGTCATAATATATCCAAATAATACCCCATAACATAAAAGCAAATATGTCTGAATGTAACCCTGCTCAATTGTCATGAACCATAATCCAGTGCATTCATTCACTAAAATAGTAAAATCGGATATTTAAATAGACAAAAATAGTGAACATAACTAAATAAGCTTACAACAAGTGACAAAGCATT